TACCATAATGTGTTTATTACGTGACTGTGAATACATAAATACCAATTCTAATTTTTCTGGCAACTTCCAGGTTCATCCGTCGAACATGATGGACAATACTGACGTGCAAGTAAGTCACGTGAGCGGAAAAACCCCATGCAGGACCCACCTGTACCCCGGACCGTGTGTGCGTGAGGCCCACTCCGTCGATGGTGGCCCCTTTAAGAGCAGGAGTAAATTTTATCAAGATCTGCTGATCGAACTACGTACAAACTCATGTCCGTGAATAATGCTATCAGGTCGTTACATGATGTACACTGGAGTTATTGGAGTTATTACACACAATTACACTAATTATTGTTCCTTAACTTCCAGGTTTCGGTAGTCGAATATAGAAGGCAGCAGACCTGAAACCTTTCCGGCGAGGATAATTATGATTGAGTGCTAGCTATAGAACTTCACACCATTTTTCTGCAAAACAACGTGATTACCTTGCAACTCATTAAATCTAACTGACATTCACATCTAACCACGGTATTCCAGATTAGGTTTTTCCCTGTGAATGTCATTGTAGCCTCCTTAGCAGACTCTAAAGACAACTGAGGCTTTTTTTTGGAGGGGGGGGGGGGTCGATAATGCGCTTATTGTCTTATGCTTATTGTCTTATTGCATACTAGTATATCTTACTCTGGTTCTTGTGCCGCCCAACGTAAAACCGGTGAGACTTCGGTGTCTCAAAGCAAAAGGTGTTAGAAATGCCTTTCAGAGGCCCTATTGGGCGGCACAAGACCAAAGTATAGATAGAAACAAAGCGCGCATTACAAAAGCTTCCCCAAAAGCCTGGTAAGGAGGCTATCTTTCTTCACGGGTGAGAAAATCCACATTCGGTGTGTTTCGAGTTCTATTGGGTATCCACCATTGAGCCAGATGGCGCCACGCCTTCATTTCAAGGCTGAATGACATAGAATTTAGTCTGGCTATAACATTGCCATATGTTCCGCCGAAATACCTGAACTATCTATGCAAGCATTTTTATGTGACTTTCTTTGTTAGTATCAACCGAAAGTGAAATATGTATCTTTACCATACCCTGATTTTCTATCGCCTGAATAGATACCGTAGTGACATTTCTTATCTTGGCTGTACGTAATTTGGTTGGAATTCACATTTCATGGTGAATTTCATACGGATGAAATTTGTAATATATGTAGCAAAAGGTCCTTGTGATGTTCATGTAATAAAGGACAGGCTGATCTCGTCATTAACGTTACTTTGTGGACACTGTGGCGTTTCTGACCACAAAATACACATTTACTGTATTGTGTGTCTTTATTTTTATAATCATTTGGCTAAATGGTTAATCAGTTTATCTCATACTCACTAAATGTATTTTAAGAGCCCTTTGTGCTTTTGCCATTGTGTTTTATTGCTCTTGGGATAGATAATAAAAGATCACACTAATTCAACATTTATATCCTAAAGTTCCCACATTCCTTGGGGAGAAAAGGCACGCTAAGCTACAGTCTGTGTACATGACGGGGAAATATTTAATTTTGAATTGGCAAGGTGGTCTTTGTGGTTATAGGATTGTTGACTTAGATTCTTAAGATTCGACTCCCTGGCAGGCCCCAGTATTATACCCTTGGGGAACCCACTTAACACCTGTTTCTTCAGTATACAAATGAGTACCTAGATTCGATTAGGGACGGCCTCTACATGGGGCGTAAAGCCGAAAGTCCCCTACTTGAGGAAAGCCACGCCTCGAGCACGTGAAAGATCCCAGCACATTTATCGAGAAGAGAAAGGGGCCATCACGATGTGAGTGGATCAAACCATACAGTCTAATCTTCCCTGGGCGCGTTTCCCCATCTGAGGGGTGTTGCTCAGTACCCAATCAAGATCAAGAAGCTTACGCAGCCTGTACAAAACTGGTGTGTCATGCCTGTTGCACCAGAACAGACTAACAAAATATGTTTCTTCCAAATCCCAGAATTTTCGTCACTGAAATAGCATTCAGACGTACAGTCACTCTACCTGAGTGTTGACTATTTGAAACGAATAGCTGTAGAACTGACATTTCATTTTATCCGAAGCTTACATTTTCAACAATGTCATGTTTTTAGTTTTTAGGGATTCAAAGTGAATTGTTAGATTCGGAAGAGTTATACTTCAGTTTTGTTTGGTATGGGCATTCCATAATGTCCATACATTGTATATTCTTTGAAAATGTATTTGATGATAATGATTTGAAGATTAGAATTGGTTCAGACAGACATTTTTATAACACCGAAACCATCCGGAATAAATCTGCCCAACTTCATAATAAAAAGAGACCATTGCATTTTCATGGCTAAGCTGTAAAAAGTACTGCAAAGATCTGCAAAGTATGTCAGGCATGCGTTTTGATACGGACGGCACCATCGTGTTTTGGTACAGTGTCTTCAAATGAACCCCTTAAAATCTCCATACCCTATAAAACATATAGAACGTTACGAGTAATTCATTTGAATTCACAAATCATATTTCATGTAAGCCTATGGCAATGCCCCGTGTCGAATTGGGACCTGAAGCATTCTCAGAACTAAACACGTGGGTCAAATTCAATTCACATAGTACGAAACTAACTATTCCGAAACTAACTATAAAAATAGGTTATAAAATCTGAAATGAAGTCGGAAAGAAGAAGGAGTCCATCCCGGTGTGACTGGATCACGTGTACGACGGTACAGAATGAAACGACCTGGGAAAATTACCTGGGTGGTTTTGGTGTTTTCATTGGTGGTTTTGGTGTAAAATTATATTTTCATAACAAAATTTAGAGGGACTTCGTTCCGTTGTCCCTGTTCGCCAGCCGCTGACTGTTTCGACGTCCAGTCTCAAAACCGTCAAAGTAGAACTCTTCTCGGAAGTAAAACTGCACAGTGTCCTCCAACCTGCTTCACCAACACGGCGGACAAAACACAAAATGTGGTCGATCTGTGGACGGTTCCACTTACACTTACAGTAGTGGGTGCGGATAATTCTGTTTTTCTTTCCTCCCGTTCAAATTTGACTTTATTTGAATTGATTTTAGTTATCTACTGTGTGCAGATGCATTAATATGGTAAACATAAAAAACATCAAAACATGTTATAAAATTATCAGCGAAAAGAGCCCTACATACATAATGGTACGGTCGAATAGCGGTCAAAAATTTAATTGTTATTTGACTACTTAGGAGCATGATTCACCACGTGGTGGGGTTACTGCGTCACAACCAATATCAAATAGAGACTTCTGATTTGTTGACGTCGTCTGGCTATATTTCTATATGGGTTATCGTAGTTAAAACACACGTAGTTAAGTTCTGTTATGACTCTAATCTTGAACTGGGATCACGGTTGCTTCTTTCAAGGGTATCGCAGTAAAAACGACAGAACAACTAGAGGTCGGAGATCTCATGTCTTCGTCAGAGGTACATCGTTCTAGAGAAATTAACATGCGTATTCTTTTAATAATCAATTTGGTCTTAAGAACAAAAGAATCTCTGTACTATTTTTATGGTACAGAACACCCTGAAACGGTTTGCCGCAGATTATACAGATGCGTCGTCACCCGTGTTA